AAAAAAAAAGTACAAAATGATGTAAAAATAAACTGTTATAAAAAACAAAACAAAAAAAACTTGGAGAATTATAATAAATATTTGAGGGAAAAATAAAATCTATTTGCACAACTGCTAAATATACATATATATATATACACACAGAGGGACCTCTGTACACTTCCCATTTCCTCCAGTGGTAACATCTTACAGAACAAAATATATTATAGCAAATGTCACACCTGGGGTATTGACACTGACATCATGATACCCAGAATATTTCCATCCTGATGGGGTCTCTCCTGCCACTCCTCCCTGCTATACTCACCTCTCTTAACCACTCGCAGGCATCACTGTTATACCTATACTGTTGCCATTTCAAGATGTTACATAGATTCATAAAATACAATAACTTTGGGGACTGTCTGTTTTCACACAGTTGTTAAGATTTTATTTATTTTGCATGGAAGAACTGAGGTGTAGACAGAGTAGGAAGGGGTGAGAGGATTCCCCAGAGACAGAGTGGGGAACAGAAGAGGCAGACTGACTGAAATACACTGCTGAGGGGAGCAACGGGCAAGACAAGAGAGGTCTGCTGTGCCATGTGGGTCAGGTACCTGGCTGGGATCTAACTCAGGACATCACAATATGAGACCCAACCCCTGGCCACCAGGGAGGCAGTTTTCCCCACAGTTTAATTCACTAAAGATTCATCCAGGTTGTTATGTGTATACCTTCAGCTACTGAGAAGTGTTACAGGGTACATACAGACCACAGTCTGTTTGAATTCACTCAATGAAGGATATCTAGATCGCTTCCAATTTTTGGTTATTAAACTGCTATAAATTTTTCAAGAGGTTTTGTATGAATATAAGTCTTTACACTCTAGCCACTATAGAACCATATATAATATATTGTATACCTATTATTCAGAGTGGTGAGCACACTCCAAGGATGTTTTAGTATCCAATAATGTCCCAGGACTGGGTCATGAGTTGTAGAAATCCAATAGAAGCAAGGAACATGTTCCTCCTTTCAAGGATTTACAATCTATATGGGAAGCAAGATTAAGACTGATATATTGAAATAATAACATTGCATGTCATCAAAGGCTAAATGAGAAACGACTCTTAAAAGAAATCTAGAAATGGAGAGAGCAGTGAGGGCTCAAGTGTTAGAGGAAGGTGTTCTGGATAAGAGAGCTACAAGCTATAGTTTGACTGATGGAGAATAATTATATTTAACATTTATCATGGGCTTACTGTGTGCCAAGTGCTGGCCTAAGCCTTACCTCTGTTAACTAATCCTCATCATTACCCTCCAGGGCAGATATTATTATTATCTAATTTTACAAATAAGGGATGAGAGAAAGTAATAATACCTATCACCTGACAGATCTAGGGTGCAATCCTAGGTGCTCTGGCCTCAGCCAACCCTCTTAATCCCTACACATTCTGTCTGCCCAGTAATAGAAGTAGAGGACCATTGCCTGGTCATAATTTAATCCCAGTGTGTTTCTTTGGTTTTATTTTTACTCAGAGTTATGTTGCGACCAAATGAGTAAGCCTGGCTTCATTAGTATGATGAGCTCCCTATGGGTCAAAGCTACTGAATAAATTAAAACACTTGAGCTTTAGTAACAGGTGAAAAGTCTGTGTGTAGAAAGGAAAGCACCAGTCTGGAGGAGGAGGAAGAGAAGGAAGAGGAGGAGGAGGAGGGGAAGGAGGAGGAGGAGGGGAAGGAGGAGGAGGGTGTGTGTGCATGTGTGTGTGCGTGTAACTGCTAAAGTAGCTGAACTTAACCCTCCAATTATATGTACTTTTCAATCTTTAAAATGGAAGAGCACAGACTTAGTGTTTCTCAAAGTATAAGTTTGACCATTTGTATCAGAATCACTGTGCATGATTGTTAAAAATCACAGGCTCCTGGGCCCCATAGCAGATCAACTGAACCGGAAGCACCAGGAAATAAGATTCAGGAAAATGTATTTTAAGATACTCCCCAGATAATAAGATTATTTGTATACACCAGATTTGATACCCAAAGCAATAAATAGAATAAATCTACTATCTTTTGCCCCATGATAGAGAATCTTGCCCATTCCTATCCAACATTTTGGTCTGTGCTTTCCAAGTACACTAGCATTCTGGTTTGGGCACTTTTGAAAATTCCCTCTAAATAAACTGTTCTATGTTTGCTTTTATTACTGTGAAAGACTAAATATCAGACACAAATAAAGTTGGAAACTAATCATTCAAAGTGAAAGCTGGCTCACATAATTGTTTGAACATTGTAATTTTTAAAAAATATTAACATGAATGCTTTGCAACAGGTCAAGAACTCTCTCCAGCTTACCGCAGTCACCAGCAGTCCCTGGTGTCTGCCAAATCACCTTGCTCAAGCATTTGAGGCATTGAAGATTCTCATCTCTTCATTTATCTGGACCAGTTCAGAAATTACAGCTCAGCAAACTTAGTATGTATTGTCAAAGTAGTTTCAAAGAGAATGGAACTCACTGGTCAGCTATTTTCAATGTGAATTCTGAAAATAAGATACCAAGAACCCTTAAGAGAATAGTTTTGCCCGCATGATTAAACTCTCAGGAAGTGGGGACAGTTAGAGATGACTAGACTCTCAGACCTCAGCTTTACTCCCAGGTGAGCTACTAGATCAAAAGAAAATGCTTAAGTAAAGGGAATAGTTTCCGATTTAAGGATTGTTTTGCGATTTAAACTACACTAAGTCAAATCTTAATAGGGCCAGGGTGGAGAGGAGAGTGATAAAATCCCACCAAAAACTCATGACATGAAAAATGACATATGCTTATTTCAGTCAATTTGAAAAGATAATCAAGAGACAGAAATGACATATCACTCAGAAACTGCAAAAGAGGTCCATAAATAATTAGTAGTTTTTGAACCAACATTCCCTATTTCAAATTTTCCAAAATCTTTACTATAGAGAGCTTTGGTAATAAATTCCTGAAAATGGAAAAAAAGAATATCTCAGAAAAAAAGCATATTTATTCTTGTAAGTCTTCAAATAACATCTTATATCTTATAATTTAGTCCTAAAGTTGTATGTTTCTAATTTTAATAGGAACATGAAAACTCTCTGGCTATAGAAATATGGCTAGTTTTGTTTTCATTTCTATATTTTAGAATAGAAAAAAGACTGTGAGATTATAGTATACATCCCAATAATCAGGGCAGTTTGCTAAATTACAGGCTCCCAAGACCTACTCAAGTTTCTGATATAGTTGGTGTAGGGGGGGACTAATAACTTAGATTGTCAACAGGCACATCCTTGTGATTCTGAAGTAGAAATCAAAAAAGGCTTCTTTAATATACACAGCCTGGGGAATTCATGGGTCATTTAATCTATTGATAACTCCTCCATTTCCTTTTACAAATGAAGAGACTAAGGAAATGAGAGGTTAACAACTTGTCCAAAACAGTAAGTGTCCAACCTAGGATTTGAAATCAAGCAGTCTAGTCTTAAAGTCCACATTCTTGACATTTGTGCAATAAAGCTCTTTAGGAAACTGAGCTATCAGAAGAGGAATTTCATTTGCAGAGTATAAAGAAATTCTGGGCTGGGCAATAGTATGTGCAAAGAGTCTGAGCCATTTCAAGCACACATTGTGCACTTGAAAATCTAGAAGACCAACAAAGGTAGAGTACAAAGAACAAGGGAAAAGAAATGGAGCCTGAAGCTGGAGGGAAAGAGGGAAGAAAAAAAAAAGGGAGGGCAAGCAAGAGGGAGGGAGGGCAGGCAAAGAGATGGTAGTAGAGAGGTGAACTAGAACCAGACAGATGAAGGGATGGACATTTTGAGCCAGGTTAAGGCTTTCAACTTTTATCATCCTAAGAATAATGACAAGATAGCAAAGGTGCTTAAGTAGGGCAAGGATGCTGTGAACAGGTTTGCATTTCAAAGGCACTCCTGGCTTCTTCACTGACCATCTAGTGAAGAGGGTTACATTTCAGAGGTCCAGCTGGGGCTGTGTTTGATGTGAGCTGTGTGGAGAAAAGCAGGCATGTTTAAATGCCTCCTCTTCTTCCAAGCGTGTTTCCCTAAATCCCGATGACCCTGCTTTTTAGTCCAAGCTCACCTTCTCTGACAAGGCCTCCTCAAGTGTCGCCAGTGCCGTATCCGTATTACTGGAGTCAGTCTGCAAGGACTTCACTCTGTCTTTCAGATTGGTCAGTTGCTTGTCTTTATCCCTAAGTTGTTCTTGCAAATTTTCAATCTGAAAATAAAAATCACCATATTTAATGCAAATGTTATTACATATCCACTGGCCTGAAGTAGAACTGTTTTTAGAGAATTAAGAACATCTAAAGAGATGTGATCCCACGCCGTGTGAGTCACACATGGTGTTGTAAACTAATGGAGCCCAACTTAAAAAGAAAAAAACTAAAATCCCCACTATATGAACTGTCAATATTATGAGGTTACACTTTGACTTGGATCCTGGACCATCTAGATGAGCACTTCATTCTTTCATGCAACTCAAACTTTGAACTTAAAGGACAATGTAGATGACCAGAATATGCCCTTCCATATAATTCAAGTGCTTCAGATGCATCAGCACTATTACTTCTATTACTGTCACTTTCACCAGCCCCTTAAGTCTTAAGTCCATAGACCTAGCTTTACAGTGAACCAGAGAAACATTTATTTAGTCAGTGACCAGCATTTATTTAGTCAATGACCAGACATCTACTGGGTACAAACACCCTATCAGCACAAGGCAGAACCTGTGTCAGCATTCACTCAGGCCTTTATTCAGCATTAAACTTTGTGATATGTCAAATGTTGTCAAGTGGTTGTTTCAAAGGAACATGAAAAGCCAAGTAGGTTATCACCAGTAGACTGTTAATGGGAAGAACTTATGATATAAATCAAATATAACAAGTACTAAACACTCCATTTGGCAACTAAGTCATGTGTTGGCAACCAACCAGTCACTTTTATCCACTATCTGCAGCCTGAAATAAACACACGGAATAGCCGATTATAACGCCTGTTCTGAGCAGCAGAAGCAAGGACCTTCTCCCAGGCATTGCGTACATTATCATTCATGCTTTTATTCTTTGCTTTCAAACCATGTATTTCTTATCTAAGGATTTTTAAAAAGCCCCACTGTACAAACAATTTGTTCATATTAAGGGTTTTAAAATGACACGGAAAAAAAGCAGTACAACTCTAAGATAAGTCCATTCAAAATATTTGTATTCTGCACCCAGGCTTTCTCAGGAAATTATTCCAAATGCATGTTTCCAATGTGTGACTCAAACAAGTTTCTGGATTACTGATTCATTTAGCCTGAATCTGGAATGGCGGTGTACAACATGACAGTTAGCTGTAATAATGAGTGTAAAATAAGAGGTGGCAGCTAGTAGCAGCAGCAAAATAGTTCTGAATGCAAAGTCTGACCCTGCTATATGTGATGTGGGTCTTGGTTAATTTTCCCAGTCGTCACAATGATATAGGCTACAGAAATTAATTATTTCTCCTTCCATTCTACCTTCCTGCCTTCTTCCTTTGCTGTCTTTCTTTTCTTTTTTTTTTTAACTAATACATCTTTTTTTAATAAGATATGTTTTCTGTCTTGAGACATCCTGACAATTCTGGTTATTTGGACCAGTAATTAAGTTTCTCCCTCAAAAATGCAGTTTTCTTTTTTTTTTTTTTTTTTTCCCGGGACCTCCCTGGTGACACAATGGGCTAAAGCTCTATAAGCTAACAGCAGCAAGTTCGATCCCCAGCCCCACAGGAGATCCACATGGTACAGCAGAACTCTCCTGACTCGCCTGCTGCTCCCCTCAGCAGTGTTCTTCATCACTTGTTCTGTTCTGCTCCCTACTCTGTCTCTGGCAAATCCTCTCACCGCCCCTGCACCTCTGGCCTGTACACTAGTTCTGTATACATAAATAAATAAATATTTTTTTTAAAATGCAGTGTTTTCCATCTACCTACCACTGTGAGCACTCAGTTCCTGCATGGAAAACAAAGGAGCTGAAAGTTATACTATTCTTCAGGCAATACAAATGCTTCCTCCATTCCAGTTGAGTATTCATGCAGCTATACAACAGCATAAACAAATACATGAATGAACAAGAATACGGATGGTTGCATATCAGAACAATAGTCAGTACAGAAAGAAACTGGCAACTGAGATAAGTTAAACACACCCACACCCGCAGATATATTTGTGTACATGTATGTGCAAACCATGCAGTAGCATGGACTTTGGACAATGGAAATAAAGGTGAAACGAAAATGGCTGTGAGGCTATGTGAGAACCTCCTCTCCACATACCAGAAACTCTACGGAGGTTGCAGAGCAGAAGATACACCTGTGTAATACAGCTGTGTAATTCTGACTACTCTAGGTACCTCACATCAGTGGAATCATACAATAATTATCTTTTCATGATAGGCTTATTTTACTTAGCTTAATGTCCCCAAGGTTCATGCATCTGGTAGCATACGTCAAAAGTTCCTTCCTTTTTAAGGTATACCAATAGTATGCCACATTTCCTTATCCATTTCTCTGCTGATGGACAGTAGGGTTGCTTACATGTTTTAGCTGTTGTGAATAATGCTATTATGGACTGAGTATACAATTATTTCTTCAAGATTTTGCTTTCAATTCTTTTTGGTACATTATGAGAAGCAGAACTGCTGGGTCATATGGTAGTTGCAATTTCATTTTTTTGAAATTTTATACAGTGCCTGTACCATTTTGCATTCCCACCAACAGCAAACTAAGGTTTCTATTTCTCTACATCTTGGTTAACACTTGCTTTTTTCTGGTTTGTTTTCTTTTTCTTTCTTTCAAATAGTCCATCTTAGTGGGTGTGAGCTGGTATCTCATTGTAATTTCAATTTGCTATATCCCAAAGATAATTGGTGGCCATACTGTGCTATTAATCATCTTTGGAAAATTCTTTATTCAAGTCTTTTGCCCTTTTTTGAATCAGGTTGTTCTTTTAGTTGTTCAGTTGTAGAGCTCTCTATAAAACCTGAATGGTAGTTCCTTATCAGGTTTGACTCACAAGTTTTTTCTCTCCCTCTGTGGGCTGCCCTTTTAGTCTGCTGATGTCTTCTGATCCACAATTTTTTAATTTTCATGAAACCCAATTTATATATTTTTTTCATTGCCTGTGCCTTTGGTGTGATATCTGAGACATCTTTGCCAAACTCAGTGTTGTGATACTTTTCCCTCATTTCCTAATGATAGGCCTTTGATCCATTTTGAGTTCATTTTTGTATATGGTATTAGGTAAGGATGCAAGTTCATTCTTTTGTATATGGGCCTACAAGATTTGCTCTCCAGTAACATTTGTTGAAAAGAGAGTCGTTTCCATATGGAATGGTCAGGGCACCATTGGCAAAAATCACTTCACCACATGTGTGAGAATTTATTGCTGGGCTTTCAATTCTATTTCACTGGTTCATTCTGTATGTCAGTCTTTATGCCATTATCACACTGTTCTAATGACTAGTGCTGTGTAGTCAACTTTGAAATCAGAAAAGTCTTCAGCATTTTTCTTAACTTTCAAGATTGTATTACCTATGAGAGTCCATATTAATTTTATGTAAGTTTTCCTATTTCTGTAAAAACCATCATTGGGATTTTGACAGGGGTTGCATCGAATCTGTAGATCACTGTGTGCTATATTTATACATTAACAATATTAAGTTTTCCAACCCATTAAAATGAAATGTTTTCCTACTTAGATATATTATCTTTAATTTCTTTCAACACCAGTTATACAAGACTTTAACCCCCTTGGTTAATTCCTTAGTATTTTATTCTTTTTGTTGCCATTGTAAATGGAATTGTTTACTTAATTTCATTTTCTGATTAGTTATTTTTTAAAAGATTTATTTATTTATTCGTGCAGAACTAGGGTACAGGCCAGAGATGCGGAGGGTGAGAGGATTCACCAGAGAAAGAGTGGGGTGTAGAACAGACAGATCGATGAAGTACACTGCTGAGGGGAGCAGCGGGCGGGTCAGAAGAGGTCTGCCTCGCCATGTGAATCTCCTCCAGGGCAGGCTGGGATCGAACTCATGCGGAAGTGGTTTAAGCTTCTTTGTGCTGCGCTTTAACCCGCTGCACCACCAGGGAGGGCCCTGATTAGTTATTTTTAATGTAAAAATTGATTTTCTGTCTTGATTTTGTGCCCTGCCTGTTTTGTAAATTCATTTATAGCTTTTGAGAGTTTTTTGTTGAACCTTTAGGGTTTTCTAATAAAACCATATCACCTGCAAACATAATTTTATATCTTACTTTCTGGTGTGGATGTTTTTCCTTCTTTTCATTGCATTTATCCTTGCTGTAACTACTAGTACTATATGGAATGAAAGTGATGAAAATGAGCATCCTTGCCTATGGCTGATATTGAGGAAAGTTTTCAGTCTTTTACCTTTGGGTATGTGTCTTTCATATCTGGCTTTTATTATGTCAAGGTAGTTTTCTTCTATTTCTAGTTTTTGTGTATGTTTAACATGAAAGGATGTCAAATTTGTCAAGTGCTTTTTCTGCTTCAATTGAGATGATCCTGTAGTTACAATTTTCCCTTGATTCTGTTAATGTGATATATTACTTTGATCAATTTTTGTTGAACCAATTTGATGTTGATTCATTCTTGCATTTCTGGAATAAATTCTACTTGATCAAGGTATATTATTCTTTCTATGATCTTTTGCATTTGTTTTTCTAATAGTCTGTTGAGAATTTGTATATCTAAGCTCATAAAAAAATAATGGACGGTAATTTTGGTTTTGGAGGATTATTTTGCATGTTTGTCTTTTATGTTGTCTTTTTTCTGTTTTGGGTGTGAAAGTAATACTAATTTCATGAATTGATTGTAAAACATTCCCTCTACCCTTTTTCAGAAAGAAATTAAGTAAAACAAATGTTAATTGTTTAAGTGTTCAGTCTATTTGGGCCTAGAAATTTCCTATTCAGAAGCTTTTAACTTATAAGTTAAATATATTTAGTGGTTATAAGGCTATCTTAATTATCCATTTTATCTTTGTTGAATTTTGGTCGGTTTTGGATTTTTTTTTAAACATTCTGTTACAGGGTGGGGAGTGTGTGTGTGTGTGTGTGTGTGTGCATAGCTATCATTTCTCTAGGTTAGTCATAAGTGGATTTCCTAGATCACAAAGCAAACACACATTTACTTGTGTTAGGCTGCAAACAGTTACCCAGATGACATGATGCTACTCT